GTAGGATTTCTGTTAATTAACTTGCTCGACGAATATCAGCAGCCTAGCAATGTTAGAGCTAAATGCGTTACTATATAGTTTTTGTCAATGTGTACCAGCTTTTGACTGGCTCCTCTTTAAACTGAGAATCAGACTGCACAAATTGGGGTTGAAGAATGGACCTTATATTTGCAATGATGGGGATATAAAGCTGAAATTCACCGTAAACTAAGTTCAAATGGCGGACTAGAGCCAACATCAATCAGCCTCATGAAGGCTTCTGAGAAAAATTAAATTGTCACTACCTGATTAGGTATTTTAGCCGAAGTTAGCTCCTTTCCCATATACATTATGCTCACACAAATAAGCGATTTAAAGGAGGTCTCGTCCTGCTTTCTCAACTTGGTCGTGGTGTCATGGCGACCTACTTGGACGCAACTCGTCCAAAGTCCTCTGTTATAGTAACTATTATAAATCTCAACTTTCGACTGTGCACTTAGCACACTCCCAGACATTTCGCAGTCATCGGCAATTTGTCTTTCTGTTTTCAGCACCAACCTACAACTCGTCAAAAGAGACGTAATTCATTCCCAGACTTCCATTGTCTCTGTGACGAGTTGTAGTCTGGTGCTAAGAATGGCACGACTACTGATGATGCCGAATACGATGGCTGTAAAACGTCTGGGAATGTACCAAGTCCACGGTCTGGTACTGGGAGACGTCACAACTATTATAGAAGAGGATTTAAGACAAGGTCTATCCAACTTGGTCGCCCTGACAACACGACCAATTTGCGAAAACACGATCAGACCACGTCTATACGTTGAAAGGAGACTGGGGCAATAACAGGAGCCACAACATTTTGTCTTCAGATCTATTATTAAATGGGGTAGTTATCGGGGAATGAGGTCCATGCTTCAAAGGTGCACCTCCACAACTCAGTATGAATATCTTTTTCTGTCTCATATTTTTTGGGATTATGGAATTATTTAATTTGGTTAATTTTGTGTCTTACTGACCTGCCGAGACACGGTGTACTTTCTACGGCAGTTTGCGATTGCGAGTGGCAGAGGTTAACTTAAACCGAATAGGCATAAGTCTTGATTTAAACGTAGAATGCTTGGTCATTAAATAATCCAGTCTAAAATGGTAATTGGGTTCCGCGCAATTTGCATCCAGTTA